AGAACGAGCTGATCCAACGCTGAGGGGTGCCTGTGTATACCGGTTCATTGTTGAGTCACCCGCTATCAGTGTGGAGAGAAAAATATTTGCTTTTCTCGCCTCAACTCGGAAATTTTCTTGCTGATTATAGGAGTCTGCAAGTGTACATCAACCAATAAGAATGGATTCTCCGAATTTCCTCTCAGAATTGCCACCAACACAAGTAGTTGACAAAGTGGATATTTTCCCCCATACTTCCCACCATATGCCCGCGATAGATCGTGCTGAATAAGTGAGATTCTGAATGTTATGTACAATCCGTACAGTGAATTGTTGTTAGGCTACCCACCGCAAGCTTAGTTCTCCAACGGAATAACACCTTCAAACGCATCCTAGTACACTAGGAGAAAAATGGTTTATCAAGGATCCACACTGTCATCCAATATCACTCCCATCAAATACGATCCATTTAAGGAATTGACCCGAGGGATGGCTGCACGGTGGGAAAGAGGCCTTGTTGCACCAACGGAAATATACTGTCGTGCGGTGTCTATAATCTTGGGCGGGCGATCACGTTAACGAACTAGTTCCGCTCATACCCTTGTTCCATACTCGGTTTCATTTTGCTCACGAATGCGGGAGCTAGAGTGATTTTGCTCGGAATCTGGATCCGCATACGGCCTCAGTCCAGCCGAGTCAATCGAAGTGAGGAAGAGGGTGATGAAAATGATAATGTCAAGATGTGTGTTGCCGTCTTTCAATGTAAACCGTTACTTTTTTATCGCGTGGTGTCGAACTTACTCACAGAATTCGACGAACTCAATTCGTACGAGTGATACTTCAACACAAAGGGAAACCAAAGGCGTAGAGAACCTCAACTGTGAAGAACGCGTAGGACATAGCAAATAGTGCACCGCTCTCACTCCTCAGCATCATTGTGACGTATAACAAAGCACATTTATATCACCTGCGTCATGAGAAAGAAGAATTTCCGAGAATGGGAGCTGTCAGATGTTGCAGAATCCCATCAGACTGTGCTTAACACAACAGCACAGTTGAGCTCAGGGGCAGAATTGTACTTGCGTATACGGCATTAAGGGTGGCGTTGTCCTGCAATTATACCCAGTGTAGTGATATCTCAATGGGTAAATCACTAACATTATGCAACGCGCATTCTATGGAGGCATAGCAGTATCACAGCATCAGACACTATGGCTCACCTGGGATTACTTCTGGCTGATATGACCTTCGCTAGACTATTCATTCCTATGTGGTAAGGACTGGAGAAATGCGCAGATGTTCATCCGAGAATAGAAAGTTCGCGGCTTGACAGTAATCTTGCATGATTCTATGATAGAAATTCTATCATGTAAAGGTCAACACTCCAGACGGTGAATCTGACAGATCGGGTTCAAATCTCGGACGAACTCGAGGATTTGTACAAAACATCTGCCTGAGCATAAATAGTGGGGATGAGCTTTTCCAAACCATCTTTTGGTGTAACGGTTATCACCCTTGTCTCTACCCTTGACGATCAGTGTTCTAATCCCGGATTCGAGTTTTATGTTAATACATACCTCAAACCTGAGAGCGTCCCCGCCGTTCTTATATAGTATATAATATATACGTATGTTTCTATAGTAATGGTGAGCACCGCAGACCCTTAACGTAGGGTAAGTGTCGGTAAACTATCTGCTAACATGCAACTCAACCTCTTATTCATGACGAACACCAGAGCACTCAATTCATTAGTATCGCGTATCCCGACGTGAAGGTGAAGTTGCGTTTGTCGTAATTAGCGGGTAAGCAGCGCAGTGACGATTGTGTTGATTGTGTTGGTCACAGTGTTATTGTTAGCAAGCGAGCTGCTAGTATATTCCATTGCTATGCCCGAGTCTTTAGAGGTGATAGAACTATGTGGCAGACAACCACTTCACTTCCAACATCATTAGGAAAGCATCGTTCCATTACTTGTCGACAACACTCCTGTGACTACTGTCGTATCCCAATTTGGAATATTTTCTTCGTTCATCATCGGTTTCCCCCACTCATTCACACAACAACAACCACAAAGTTAATGCACGAAATGAACTGCAGCTAGACTCATCACATCCTACTCACTTTACGACTGGAAGCTCTCCGTCTAAGAGTGTACCTGTTCACACCGCAATAGCAACAACAACAAGTGCAGGCGACCGATTCACCTTCCCGCTTCTGATCTGATCATATCCAACGACGACGGTGTACTTTCCTCGTTATCTCCCAACTCTTCCACCGCCTCAGGAGGGGGTCGGTTCAAAGGCGTTACACTCCATCTAGCTTGGACCTATAGTGAAGTGGAAATACTATCGGACAAATTGATTAATCATGATGCACATCGTGAAACACTTCGCTCCGCTGTGCTCGAGACCAGACGATTCCGACATGAAATCTACGGATTTGAGACACCCCCCTCACGTGGTGGACCTATGTCTACTAACTGAGTTAGTAGACAGAGAGAGAGTTAGTCGGGAGAGTTAGTCTAACTCTCCCGACATACGAGGAGAGTTAGTAGAAGTCCACATTCACGAGGTCACCCTATCAATATGAAATCATTTTCCTGTAATGTCCGTGAATGCCGAACCTAGCGGTGACAATGATAACTTCAAACGAGACCATGAGAGTCGTCATTCTATGTGAATTCGCATACAACAGAGGAATTACGTTGCTTGCATAGCCGTGTTAGACAGTAGCAATAATACGACGCAAAGAGACTCTCCAGAAGCCCCTACATTATCCCCACGGGAGAAACGTAGCTCTTACCGCTCTATGGAGTCTAGTGATAGCATTATCAACTTTGAACCGCAGCCGAATCATTTCCATTTTCGGGAATATCATCTGTCGGCCTTCCTGGAAGTAATCCTCCATAACTTCAGGTGTAGGGTTGGTCATAATCTGGGTGAAGTACCTAAGTTGAATTAACGTCTACTCAACAGACACCGAGCATTTCACACAAATGATCATGCATAAATACACAAAAAAGACGCCATAGTTCGCCCTCTCTATCAACAAGAGTCCCTCCTCCTGATTTCCTTGTTACTCACGAACAGTGACCCATCCAACTTCGAGAAATAACTTTCCCGAGGGTTTCATAATAATGGGGGAAAATTTTCTCTTATGTGGTGAGATTTCCTCAAGTATGTGTTCCTAACCATGTCGAGATTCAAAATGAGTTCCCCCCGGGTTTCCGGATGATTCCCTGCTAAGGAGGCCCTACCAGAACTTCAACGTAGGTGGAGTGACGGTAATATTCCCATCGAAAGTCTGCAAGAAGAGTCTCGACCAGTCCGCAGAGTAATGTTGGGGGAGGAGCTCCAGCTGGCTCACAAGACGGGCATTCTTCCTCAACTCTTCCTTCAAGAAAACCTGAAAAAATGTAATACATGGAATCGAACCTGCTCGGATAAGACAATGTCAGGTGAGGCAATGTCGACCATACCTCCAACGAACTGAGCAAAAATCCTCCTCTCCATTCACGCCAGAAGTTCAGTGGTCGTCCCGCCTCCCCCTTATTCCAGAAGAAAAACGGTATAATATGCGGGTTCACCTAACAATACAAGCGCTCAGCGCGCGCCCGAGTGATCGATTTACCACTCACTTGACTAGTAATAAATACATGCGCATGGAACATCTCACCGAGTCCTTCTTGAGGAGTATCAGCCTAACAAAATACCACATACAACAGCGGAGCGAAGCATCTATCTACTTGCAATGATCCGTCCATGAAATAACTGTTTTCTGAGGCGAAAGCACCTCCTCCTGTGTATCGAGTTATTTCCTAAACAACGAACGAAAATAATAGACCTTTATCCACAGTAGGAAAACACTCCTGATAATTTTACTCACCCACCGGGAAAGTGCAAAAATAGTAAATTTTACTACTTGGAAAGTGTAAAAAATACTAAATTTTCGAGAACTCGGAATATCCTTTTCACAAACGACTATTTCGCAATACCACTCTTCGTAGAAATATCAACTAGAGCGTTTCGTGCCTTTGACACATGGGAGAGACACATGCGAAACATGGGAATCCCAACAGCCTATAATTTCATACGCAGCTTCTACTCGACGCGAACTCACCCCAGTTTCGGGATCTTTGATTAGAAGTGGTTGAGGAGGCAACAGATACGGCATAGCAGAGGAACATAATATCGCCGATCTCACGAGCACCTGAGAGAGGAGAATCTTAGGTTCATGAAGGTAAGATACGGAGTAGGTCCTCATTACGTTCGGTGCTGAGCGATAATGTAATAACAAAGGCTCCCCACCTGTGGAAGAATTAGAACCTGAAGATTGACCTCAGCCACTTGTATGAAAATCACAGAGAATTTCCATCGATTCTCGACTGTAGGTACTACCATATTCCATTTCTAGGATCACATGAATCAAAGTGGAGCGAAAACATGCACATGTCGACCACAAATATTAGTGACAATATGAGGAAATTCTCATTGCTTTCTGTACACTTTTACCCAAATTTCTATAATTATGCGGAAATTCCTGAGCTCAGCTGATGAGGAAAACGAACATATATTCATACTCCAACACTGTATAGGAAACTCCTGAGCTCAGCTGCTGAGGAAAGCGAACATATATTCATACTCCAACACTGTATAGGAAACTCCTGAGCTCAGCTGGTGAGGAAAGCGAACATATATTCATACTCCAACACTGTATAGGAAACTCCCGAGCTCAGCTGATGAGGAAAGCGAACATATATTCATACTCCAACACTGTATAGGAAACTCCTGAGCTCAGCTGATGAGGAAAGCGAACATATATTCATACTCCAACACTGTATAGGAAACTCCTGAGCTCAGCTGATGAGGAAAGCGAACATATATTCATACTCCAACATTTTCATGACCAACACATACCCCCCTTACTGCAAGTAAGCACCAACACCCTGTTCGTTCTTTGGAAGGCCTCTAGGAAAGTTATATCTCGATCCCTGACTCAGAACGATGTTACTCTATCTGTGATCGGAATTTTTTACCCCAGCAAATCAGCGAGAAGATTGTGCCAAGGCAAGGGGTCGAACATATATCCAGTACGTAAGAACCTGACACAATAATCGATCACGTGATCGATTTGCCCTTAACACCTCTTAATACAAGTCCACCAACTGTCACCACAGGGACTCCATTTCGGTTGAACTACTTCCGGCTTCACGATCCTTGGTAACTCATCATCAGTGTGAGTACACAAATATGATGCCACTACAGAGCCTCCACTGGTACCTGTGGAAACATTACTTCACACGGGTCCGTCGATCCTTGAAAACTATACAGTACCATACTTATATTCGGGTATTCGAACATTGGAGTTTCACAACAACCCGTTTCACGTGAAGTGAAAAACGCGATACTCGCGGTGATATGCAGTAGTCGTGGAATAGTATTTTTTTAGTATCACGCCTGGGTGAAACTATCGGTAGCACGCTTGGTAGCTCGAAACTGGCAGCAGGCTTGAAACTGACGTGTTGCCTTTTGGGCCCAGCAGCCTGTGGGGGTTTTAGTGGGTATGGTCGTGCGAATCCCGCAGTATCCTTCTGAGGGCCACACCTCTTAAGGTTCTCCATAACCGGATTCCTCTCACACAGGCTGGTGAATGCGTCGAAAAAAGGGGGTGAAACTCCATAATTCCTCTAATATTCATAGACTGATGATTGAGTTTCACCCGTTCTACGTGATGTAGCATAACACTCTATGTGAAAAACGCGATATTGACGATATGATGATACTTCACGAATTACACCGAGTAAATCACGTGAAACATATCACGTGTTTTACGCGTTATTCGATGCTCACAAACCCTCTTGAACCGGTGAAACTCCAATAATATAATATTAATAAGTAGTGAATGTTTTTTCTAAAGCAGCACTCCTCTGATAGCGGTATGGCTGCGAACTCAACAGCTGCTCCATAAATTGCTAATTAAACATTAGAGTTTCACAACCCGTTTTACGTGAAGCGGCGTAAAACTCGGTGAAAAGCGCGGTATTCGCGACCTGTGGTAGTCGTAAAATATGTTTTTCATATCACTAGGGTGGCCGTGAAGCTCCATTATATCCAGAATATAGGATTGGCGTACTCACTAGACCCTAGATTCGATACCACTAGACTCGATCTCGGGAGCGGTCGTAGAACTCAGAAGAGGTCTATTGACCCTCACCCCACACGTATTCAGAGAGTAGCTCCTCACCATTTCGATGTAACTTACCACAGATAACTTTCGGAAGACACCCTTGTTCTATCATAGTCTCCACTATGCCGAAGTGCATCAACGCCATCATTCCTCCACCAGAAAGACACAAAGCAGGCTGACCAAAGGTTAGCCTAAAAATGCGACATGCCGGGATCGAACCGGATACCTTTGTACATAATATCGTTTAGAAACTCCGAGAAAAGATGCTTTTCTATCGAGTCATTCTTCCTCGAAGTGACCGTCTCCAAATGTGCCGTCACTTCGTCAATAGTATCAACTACTGATTCGTAGAAATCTGTGATGCATTTCTTTGTACCTGAGCGATTAACAAAGTGGGTGATTTTTTCCGTTGCGGCGCACTTAAATTTCAACTCACCGCTCATGAAAGTACCATTTTTCCACGAAATAATGTAAGTTCACTGATCAGATACCAGGAATACTTATATATAATTATACAACTGTAGAATAACCATGACTTTCACAAAAATGGACAATCTGAAACGCTTCGCTCCGCCTACCAAGGAAACTCTTCGAGAACAAATACTCGTCCGTTCCAATGCCCGCGAATCCCGTCACGAGGATTTGCCTCAACAACGCCAACTTATGCTCCAACGACTTGGCACATCGTAGCTCCTCGCCTGAAGACGATAAGCAGCTATTCCTCGACTACTACTAGAAAGAGTACCATGTGACTTGATGCACAACGATGAATATCCGACACTATCATTCGTATTCTTCCACTTCTGGATCCACGACACGCTTTTATCCAGTTCGCGAGCCGCCTCTTTATAAGCCTCGTAGTTCTTCGCTTCTGATGACAAGACAATGATTCCAATAAAAAAAAGGAAGAAGCTTCCACAAAGGAATGGAACATCGCTGAGAAATTCGAGGGACTTTCAGCAGACGACCTGTGTGATGCGGGGAATTTTGAACAGACACCAAGTCGCCAGAAAATTCCGTGATAAATTTTCACGCCCATTCAAAGCCCATTTACGAATGGGTTTTGATCCCTATTTCCAACGTATCACAAGAAACTCCCCCTGAATTTGACTCCAATGCGATGATAGCAGATTCAGCAGAAACGAAGTAGCTATTGGTCGCGGTTTTTAAGCGCATGACGAGTCGAGAGTTGCCTCACAGAGAAAACCAGAGAATCAAACGTAACTGCCTCGAACATCGCTGAAGTTCCCCAGTTTTGGTTTGCATAGTAAGTTGCTAGTACCAGTCAATCGTCGTAATTGGTGTCTTCGACTTCTCCAACTCTTTCGGAAAACTGGAAAAACCTTCTCCATAGCGCGAACCAGTTGTCTCACCTGAAACCATTAAACCTTTTGAAAAGTTTATGACAAAAACGGCACAGAAAAACAAGAAGCCTATCAATAGCAACCCGGAATGCGAAATGTATCTAATTGCCTCACGCGAAAAATGATGACAATGCATAAGGTGAACGCAATGAAAGACAAGCGAGTCCTACTCAGTGACCCAAGTACTTACAAGAACGTATAAACACAGCTCCACAGCACAAAGGGCAGCGAAGAAAATCAGTAATGGGTATCGAAGGATCTCTGAAAAGGATGGCCACTGGACCTACTCCGTATCTTCTGCGCTCAACCTCAAGATATTCATCATATGGGGCGGCTATGCCACCAGGAAACGTACCCTAGTAAAATCAATATCCCCTACCGAGGCGGCGATGCCACCCCAAGATATGCCTTAGTGGATTCAATAGCTCCCACTGGGGCGGCTATGCCACCCAAAGATATGCCTTAGTGAATTCAATACCTCCCACTGGGGCGGCTATGCCACCCAAAGATATGCCTTAGTGAATTCAATACCTCCCACTGGGACGGCTATGCCACCCAAATATATGCCTTAGTGGATTCAATATCGCCCACTGGGGCGGGTATGCCACGTCTAGATACGCCTTAGTCGGCTCAATACCTCCCACTGGGGCGGCTATGCCACGCCTAGATATGCACTAATAAAATAAATACTTCCCACTGGGGCGGCTATGCCATTGGCTTTAGTCTCAAAGCATATCTTTGGCATGAGTTCAAGCTGATGTGAATTTCTGATACTAGAAAAAGGCATACTCACTTCTCCATCATTGTCAAGTCCCGAGAAAGACATGAGTAAAATTCCCTGATGCCTCAAACCATCGAGGTCATCTATAAATGCCCTCTTACTGTGCGTTCCGAATACCACTATGAGGACAGCCAGCACGGTGGTAGATGTGAGCACTGCGAATATTACGAGTATGGAATACCTTATGTAGCCGGCAGGATCTGAAAAGAATCGACATCTCACTAGCTGGACAAGATTCTCATTACCTTCAGGCTCGAGGAGATCAGGACGGGTCGAGTTAACGAAATCCAGAAGACTCCCAACATCCGGTCCCGAAGTCACATAAGCTCGTAAGATACTCGCGAGCTCCCCTTCAGAGAGCGATGTGAAGATGCTACTCGCTAGAGAAACGGTAGAGTTGGACATGACCGGTAACAACAAGGAAAGAGGCCTGCTTACTATAGATGCTGCTGAGATCTCACAAGATCCAAAGTGAGATACACTCTTCACGATTTTGGCGTGTGCAACTGGCTAACGGTCGAGATACTGAGGCCAGGATAACTCACAAGTATTACTTCTGATGGAATAGGACTGTCCCGGAGTAATAAGATGACCGATATCTCTAGCTCAATCGTCCGCCTATCTTCAATCGTTGCTTGCACCGGATCAATTTCATGAGCGTTCATTGCATAACCGTCAAGAGAGGTAACAGCAAGTAGATTTATGTCATTATTATCAGTTATATATTAGTCGTCACAAATACAACAATGATTTATATCTCAGGTGATTTCCAAATGCGGTCGTCAAGACAAACGATTCCCAGCTATGGTCTCCAAGGTTGAGTATGCAGAAACCCAGATTTACCCCACTCCACAAAATCACCTTTCGATTAGCCGAATTGATGCTGAGAAGGCGGTTATGGCCTGATGGTATAAGTTATACCGGACAATACAAAATCTTCATATCCGCAATCGTCCACCTGTACGTACGTTACGACTAGCGACATTTCGAACAAAATATCAAGTCCTGCCACGAAACCTCAGCGGAGCGATGCAACGTAAAGTGCTAGTGGTGGTCAAGACCGTTCTCAACGACAACAAAATACAGCTCCCGTTAACCCCATCGACTTTCCGGTACCTCCTTCGAGTGACAGCAGCAGTGACGAAGAGGACTTGGTCACCAGCCGAGATTCCATCAACAACCAGTCTGAGGAGGCCAAGAAAGAGAGGATTACCAATGCTACGCCTAACGGGAGCGAACCCGGTCAAGGTGGTCGAAGAGGCAAGACTACGGTCTCGTTTAGCTATGTTGAGAAGGTCCGTAAAGAATGTCTCAGACTAGCAAACACCTTCGATAAGTTCACGGGTGATGATGTAGCTCAACTGCCGATGTTGAAGCGGCAAATTATTGAAGCTTGCCGGGACAACTGCTGGGATGACGGGGTAGCCTACTTCTTCCTTACACGGTATTGCCTATCGCCAACAGCTTGGGACTCGGTGGCAGACACGATGTCCAGCGAATACTACAATAGGGAGAGGAGTACTGACTACCTCGAGCGGGCGCGTCGAGTATGGTCTATCCTGGAAGTGACATACTCAAATCTGGTCAGTCGTGACATTCTCAGAAGCCAATGGTCAGCTCGACGGCGTAAAGGGAATGAGACCTGTCGCAAATTTGTTACCCGTACGGCCAGAATGAGGAGAAACCTGAGCTGCGCTGGTATCTATCTGTCGAATGAAGACGAACTTATTGCCCTACGTAATGGACTCTATGAGCCCTATAGCGAGTGGGTGGCGACATATATGATTCAACTACAGTTTATGGTGTCATTCACGCAGCTCAGTGGTTCCGCAATATTCGGTGATGGTCTACAAGATCAGCTAATAGATGGCCGTCAGATGGCGAGCCTTCGCACTTCGTTGTGCTTTCGAGGTGATGAGTGGGAAAATCATCATCGTCGAATAGCTCCGGCGATCGATCCCAACGAAAGTGCACCAAATCCCAAAGGAAAACCTAAGGAGAATCCACAAGGCCAACAACGGCGACGTCCAGCAGCAGCAAAGGTTCCTTGCCGAGGTCATTGTACGTACGGGGACCGATGCAAGTTCAAGCATGAAGCTGTGTCTGAAGAGAAGGTACAAAAGCCGACATCGACTCCGACTGCTCAGAAAGATTCTGGTCCTATCACAACGAGCCGTGGCAAAACCGTTGGGATATGTTATTAGTTCTTGAAGAAGAATAGCTGCTCCAGAGGGAATAGCTGTCGCTTTTCACATCAACAGCCATCTAGTGGGAAATCTGAAATCCCAGCAGAGAAAGCAGCGGCGAATGGTGTACTAGATGATGATGATGATGATGATGATGATGGAGAAGAGCAACTAGCGGGTGCTGGGTTCTATGAGGGATGCACGGTTACGGTCTGTGGTACGAGCTCTGAGGCTGATCAAAAATTGCCATCGACGCTGACCGCTTGGGTACACTATGGTGAATCTGCTATACCTGTGGTCAGCCTAATAGATACAGGTTGCAATATAAATCTTATGTCAAATGGGGTGGCATCGCGTTTGGGTTTGACCCTACAACAACTCCCACATCAGCGCAGCAGATGTGGGAGTTATGCAGATAACGTTTTGCAGATAAGTCTATAGTTACAGCGAAAAGTGCTGTAGCCTGTAATCTACGAGCAGAAAAACAGCTCAATTATGCTATTATGTTATTGAGAGCCTGAGCCCACCTGTTGTTCTCGGTCTCGATGCGCTCTCCAAGCTCAGTGTCGATAATATTCTGAGGCCTGGTCAATCTTCAGTGGTAAGGAGCGGCCAAGGTCATCTGCGTCAGCAACAGCAAGGACATGAGATTAGCAGTGAGGAGTGCATGCAAGAGACCATGGGCTTGGTGTGTGGCGTATCGCTAGATCACGAGGTTCTTGTTCACCACCTACAAGATGAGTATGATGATGGTGATGAGGATCTACGAGAATATCGTGGTAAAACGGTTGCAGGGGAACCAACCTTCACTGAATCAGTGACACTGATAGCTTGGAGGCGGTTGAAGACCCTGTAGAAGGGAGATACATGGTATCGCTACCATGGAAGGGCCAAGAGAGGCCAAAACGTAATTTCGGCCAGGCCTGTGCTAGAGCGAAGGTATTAGAGCGAAGTCTCACCGATGATCAGACATATCAAGGTGCAGGAGGAGCTCGACAACATGCTCCAAAAAGGGTGGATCAAGGCTGTTGACCCACAGAAGGTACGACACTTTGCTCCTCCACGACCAGTCTTCCGAGATACATCGACGACAACTTCAACTAGGGTCACGGTGGATGGAAGGGAGATAAATCAATACTTGAGAGTTGGGAGTGTTGATGGTCAGCTCTTAATCAGTGAGATCCTGATGGGGTGGCGCGCACAGCCACATGTGATCAACCTTGATCTCACCCGTGCGTTCAATGCGGTGAAACTTTACCCATCAGCGGGTGAATGGCTAGCCTTCGTCGCATATGGGGCGACATATACATGTTATAGACTTCCGTTCGGTCTTTGCTGCTCTCCAGCGGGTCTGTTTCAATGCTTACATATTGCTCGGGATGGCCTTCTGAAAGAAGACAGAAGAAATATATCGATTTATGTTGATGATATATCGATAAGAGGAAGCACGATCCTAACCACTAAAAAGAGAGAGAAGGAAGTCATCCAACGGCTGAAATCGAAGGGGTTTGATTTCCAGCAGCAGAAGAGAGTGAGCTCCCTCACTGATCAGGGTCAAGTTAAAAACCTTGGGTACATTTGGGATCTTGGTCATACAACGACTTCCTAATATGGACGTGAACCAACATTCAATCACTAAACGACAAGCAGTGGGGTATTACTGTCGATGGTATGATGCTCTCGATATATTCGCGAATTTAAGTATAGCAGCACGGCCAAATGCTTCGAAGATCTTCCAGGAGGTCAAATGCTGGGAGGATAACATCAGGGAGCAGCATGCTGCAGATCTACAGAAATGCTATCAGCAAGTACAGTCACAGCAATGGTGTATTCCTCGTTGCGAATCAACAAAGAGGTTGATGGTTTTTGCAGACGCTAGTATCTCGGCATGGGCGAGCGAAGTTTTTGGCGAACCATATGGGTCTACTGATAAGCAGGCTTCGTTGGTAAAATATCTGGGGCCAGCAGGTGTTTTTTCGGCAGCATCGACTAGGTGGAGCGTCCCGAAGAGAGAACTGTACGCGTTGTTCAAGGCGGTGCAGTCGGTCGAGAAGGTCCGATCGGCCAACGAGAAGGTGGACCTTGGATTGTCTACAGCAGAGGAGAACACTGAGGAGTGGCCGCGGTTTGTCTTTTTCGTGGACTCGGCTATAACGGTGTGGCGGCTTCGTCGGTCGAAGAGTACTGCAATACGTAAACGTCTCAGCAAAACAGAGACGAGTTGGTTGGACTACATAGTGGAGGCTTGCGTCAGACTAAAATGCCGAGGTTATTCACATAGCTTCAGAGCAAAATCTAGCAGATGGAGCATCACGTGGTCGTCTCGAAGGATCGGTGTCGATAACTATGGAGCAGGTGCAGATTTGGCGAAGCGGCGGCACGTTGGTCTCGTATAAACCCGCGACGACGGTAAAAGGAGACAAGACAACCTTCGATTACGATGAATTGCTCGGTCTTGCATGCAGCATAGATGAGCTCACCACTGGTGACAAAGAGGTCGAATTACTCAGACCAGATCATCCATTCGGTAGAGCTTTAGCATATAGGCAGGAGGTGGAAGACCATCTGAGGCGATCTGCCTATATAACAGCTTCGAGATGTCTACTGGAAAAGAAGCCTTTGCCGTCTGGTTGCCCTATTCCTTCGGAAGTGTTGAAGAGACAGCTACCACTGTATGAGGTGAGAGATGGTATCGTGTTGCGAACGGTACGGACCTCTACCGAAGGCGACATTATCCAACAAGCATTGCTGGACCCATCAAGTGGTGGCATACTGATTTACAAAATTATCGACAATGTGAATCTTCGCAGTGGTCATCTGGGCCGTGATAAGCTGTCGCGGGTGTTATTAGATGAGTATTATTGGCGTGCTTTGCGCAGGTCGGTGGCTTCTCGTATTCCGACAAGTAGTGATTGTCGAAGAGTTCGAGCGAGATTAGTACGGAGGAAGCAGGCTAGAGGACAGGCCTTGGTCTTAGGCTAAGACCAAGGCCAATCATGGTGCATCATCCGTCCCTACAACGACTGCTACGGTTGTATTACAAAGAAACCCTGCTAAGCGAGTTCGTAATGCTTTATCCTCCGGCCAGGGAAGCGGTGGACGTTTCATTCATTTATTCCCAGTTTGGGATCGTAAATCAGTCACAACGGCTTGCCGTTGTGTACTGGATTCAAGAATTGATAACTCATTTTATTCATTGTTATCCACAGCCTGTGGACCACAGGGGCTCGTGGTACTAAACATTCGTTATACTCTAATATTTTGAAGCTGAGCTTCAGAAGCTCAGACTTTGTCATCAAGCACACACCCTGGAATCCAGGGCCTGGATTCCAACAAGGAGAGTTATTGTTGAGATAGGAGGCAACCGTGCTTTGCTAGATGATGGTGTATGGCGCTCTACTGATAAGCTCAAGAAGCTAAATGATGAAGTGCTACCTCGGTATGTATTCTGCGCGCGTCCGTACGGCGCGAGGTATGACACTAAGGATTCTGTGATGCTGGTCATAGGCGAGCGCTACTTTATGTACATGCGTGCTGCTTTCACGCTGCTGTGTGTTTACGTACGGGCTTTTATAAGTCACGTTAGGCTAAGTTGAGTCCGCTATAAGTTCTATACAAGGCTTTTACTAGTTACTGACTTATACTAGCTTACATAGGGATCCATATCTATATGAGGAGGATATGGATAATAGGGTCTTCATTGTGTTGCTATAGTTTTGTGACCATTGATTGCACTCTATTGGGCACTGAATCATTCGCTATGGTTTTGCGAACCCTTATGGATTTAGGGTTTTTGAGTCATCTGAGGACTAAGGTTGTCGCTACGGATTGTCGATATATATTAACAGAGTCTAGCTTTGAGTTATCTGAGTTCGGAATGGTTGTTACACGTTCAGGAAAGACTACCGAAGTGCCACGTAATCGTGACACTGATGTTATAGTCAAGGTACATCGTAGACGTGTTAAGGAAAAGACGAGTCATGCTTCTCATGCGCAGTGTGCAGAAAGGGAGTCAACCCACGGTACCTCGGTTACTCCCACTAGTTACCCGAGTCCTCATAGGGGGGATCACCGCTGCGCGTATTCTACCGGGATTTGTCCCGACCACGGATCTACGGTTACTGGTGATGTAAGGTCTGTGAGAAGGGTTACATCGACCGATATCTTGTTGGATTGGAGCTTGGGGTATGATGATATCAAGAAGAATGTATTTTACAACCGCACTGACTTGGAGGAGGCTCTAAGGCCGCTCGGTTTATTGGCAAGTTCCGAAGTGGAGCCCCCCAACCTATTGGTGATATAAATGACATCATTGATGGTCCAGAGGAGCAAGGGCGACAGCATGGGTTCATCCCCATGGTGGTTAATGCGAGGCTACCGAAGGTATGGTATCCAAGGGTAGATATGGGGCTACCAAGGGATTCCTGTGAATGGTAACGTGGCTTGGCGTTTATGGCATACAAACTGGCCCAACTTGGGGCTGATAAGGTCATTGAGGCGCCCCAAAAGGTCACGGTAAGGTCGGATAGTTGTGGTGAGCTACAAGAAGATTCATCAAGGGTGGCAGATATCACCACATCTCGCGCCCTTGTAACTCAGGGCGTTCCCCTCCGTAGTTTGGAAGAGGACGCTAGCGCCTGTATCGTCCCGTTGATCCGAGTTATGTGGACCGGGCGTTGGGCAAGGAGCCATAGGTCCAGGGTACGGTCAGATGGACTGTCCATCATGGACAAGGTCAGTACCCACGAGCACACCAGGAGTTTGGCTGCGTGCCCGCCAAGTTCCCCAACTCCTTAGGGTCTTCACAGTGCATTCTAGATCACGCCTGTGAGGGTTCTCCTAGTGGCAGGGTGTGATGTGAGTGGAAATTCAGTACGATATTCTGTGTTTGGAAATTTCAAGGTGGAAATTTCCGGAATTTCCAGGAAATTTCCGCCAAGATGCTTCCGGGCTTCTGCGCTAGCGCGCAGTCGGGATCGAGGAAGTACAGAAGAGCAAGATCACGAGTTGGAGAGTCGTTTCGTGGGTCCATGCGTTACATTGTCAATTGCGTGTCGCGTTCAGTTCGAGAGCCAACGATGGCTCGAAAGGGATGTAGTTGCGTCAATCACGGTCACGACTGACGATCCGTCAAAGCAGCTTTGCGAGAGACAGGTTTTCGCTCTCGAAAGACCTCGTTTTTGGGTGGTCGAATTCTGTTCAGTATCTCGAAGAAGTCTGGTTTATCCATGTCTTTGAAGGCTTTCCTGTTATATTGCCTATCTCTTAATGGCTCCCTCGTCGCGTAGGAGAAGCTCTATCTTCGAGTCGAAGACTTCGACCCCCGACCACATTACCTGGTGAAAACTCGGGCTGAGCTTGGCCTCCCACCGCTGTAGTACAGGTGCTGTAGTACAGAAGCAAGTATTACTTGCCAAGTAACTAGGTTACTGCAACCCCAAGTTGAACTTCAAGACTTGAACTTAGTTCAAGTTCAAGTTCACCTTGCTTCAAGTTGTTTCAAGTGGCACCTCATGACGCCGGTGGCGGTCCAGTGGATGATGAACTCGACATGGAAATACTTGGGATCAAAAGTATATCTCCTTATTACTTATCATGGTATGAATTACTTTGCAGTTGCATTTTCGAGCGTTACAGGCGAGCGAGAAAATAGATGCGCTCGACGGAGCGAGGTGAATTGCCATGAATCGCCATGCGAAGACTTGTAAGCGCTCGCCTTGATGATCGATTCCAGCCGTTGGGGCTTTTACGCACAACAACCGAGTCTGAGCATCACTACGATACTCTATCTATGCGGAGAGCTATTCTTAATGCAGATTGAGCTTTTTTATAAACGAAACGTGCGTAGAGATCAGTAAATAGCCATTTTTGTTAGATTTCCTGGAAATTCAAGGGTCGTGGAAATTTTTCCGAAATTTCCTTCGGAAATTTCAGGAATG